CTGGTTGTCACAAGTGTGCGAATGGTACTAGCTTCTAGTGGGTAGAATGCACAGATAGCTCCCACAACAACGAATGATATGGTCTAAAACGTCAATAATGTTGAGGTTGGGAAGTCCCAGTAAGAAGCCCTTACTAGGAGTGAAGAAGAACTGGAGATAAACCAACCCTCATAAAGACTGAAGACCTGCTGAATTTCTGAGAATCTCTGGTTGAATTTTCAGCCTAGGTTCCTGACAGAAGCCAACACGAATCCCCACTGGAGGAGGATAACATTACCCAGAGCTTCAAATATACACCAGCAAATGAACGTTAGGTGGGGAGGGAGGGTGGGAGACAGAAACCAAAGTCAAAGGGGTCTACGTCCTGGCATTGTTCACTGGTGAAATGTTCATTTAGTTAGACTTTAATTAGTTAAGGATGCATGTAGTAGCCTTTAGAGTAACCACTGAAAGAATGGTGTTATATATATCATAAATTATATGCATAAGATATATATTATAAATTAGGTATGCAATTTTATATACTTAAAGGATATATTATAAATTGTATATATATATATTTAATAAAGAAGGAAATTGATATATCAAAAAGGAGGCAAGAATTCAAAAGAAATAGAAAAAAGTAGAATATATAGAATCAAGCCCAACTATATCAGTAATACATTAAGTAAAATCTACTATTCCCACTAGAATACAAAGATAATCAAACTGAGTGAAAGAAATAAAAGACTCATTTTTTCCAAGCTTCCTGACTCTGAACAGCAAATTGTCATAGAAGAATAATATTTAGAGTGGCTAACGTTATACTAAGTGATTTCTGTTTAAACCCTTTACATGTGGTCCAACCCTCAAGGTTGGTCCTATTATTTTCATCTTTTTATAGTAGAGGAAACCATGCACACTTGCTCAGTGTCATCTGGCTAGTATGTGGCAGAATGAGGATTTATTTATTTTATTTTATTTTATTTTTTAAAAATATTTTTATGTATTTATTTTAGAGAGAGAGCAGGGGAAGGGCAGAGGCAGAGGGGGGAGGGTGAGGGAGGGGGAGAGAATCTGAAGCAGACTCCATGCTGAGTGTGAGCCTGATGTGGGGTTCTATCTCACAACCCTGAGATCATAACTTGAGCTGAAACCAAGAGTTGGGCGCTTAACTGACTGAGTCATGCAGGTGCCCCCAGAATGAGGATTTAAATTAGGCTCTCTGGACTCATGTTCTTATTAACACTGCTAAATCAATTGAGATATTAGTTAGGATGATTCCCCCCTCCCCTTTTTTATGACATTTCTGGGAGAGTTTCAACTGATGGCATTTTGTCCCACAAGTAATTAAATGATATTTTCCACAACATATTCCCTTATTTTTTTGTTCAGATAATATAACAATTCTTGTTATCTCTCTATTTTCTTTTTTATAACATAGTTATATTGCATTTATTTTGCTCGCATGTCTACAGGCCACCTGGGTAGTCCTGTGGCTATGGGAGGGGCTTGGTTAATCTTGGTTGGACTCACTTCTTGGATCTGCAGTCCCAGGAAGCTTAGCTAAGGGCTCTTTGGTCTAGCATGGCATCAGGATATGTCTTGTCTGGTTCATGTAGTTCTCCAGTCGAGCAGACAAACCTAGCCTTGTTCTTGTAGAGCAGGCTGGGATTCAAAAGAGTGAGTGGAAGCACCCAAGGCCTTGGGGCCGAGAATGGGCACATCTTCATTTCTGCTGCATTTCATTGGCCAAAGTAAGTCTCAAGGCCAGCCTAGATTCAAGCATGGGGAAAGAAACTCTACCTCCTTAGAGGTGGTGCTAAAATGTCACATTACCAGGAGCACGTTTACATGTAGGTGTGAAAAATCAAGGTCTTTAGGGTAACCAGTCTACTATAACAGCATCCTGGCATAAGCGATTGGTTTTGTGACTACATTGAAGGAACTTGGGTAACATCAACGTGCTATCCTGGGAGGATGACAATGCTTGTTAAGTGGTAGCAAAGCAGTTGGCAGATTTTGCCTTGTTGTATTCTGGCCCCTGTGCTCCTTTTGGGCACATTTTCATAGAAGACTCTTTGGTTGCAGACAACAGAAATGGACTCTTCTTGCCTGAAGCAAAAAGGAAATTTGCTGCAAGGGCATGGGGGAATTTATAGAACTGCCTAGAAGTTTGGAGAAGCAGGATCAGGAATGAAGACATTTCTGGAGGGGATTAGGGTGTAGAAGTGGAAAGAATGACAAAACAGTTTTATTTGGAAATTGCACTGGGATGCATGCATTTCAACCATTTGCATTTTTTTGGTCACTTTATTCAAGGTTCGAATTTCAGCAAGGCAGCATCTAATTGGCCTAACTTGGGTCAGATTCCCTCCCCCATGGTTAGGGGGATCTCAGGACATTCCAAGTGATGTTCTCACCAGGTATAAGTCAATGGAAAATAATACCCAAAAGATGGTATGGGTACAGTTATCAAAGGAAGGCAACACAGATGTTGGGCAGCCAAAAGTAGCATGCATCCACTATATAAGTAGCTGTACTATGAGCAATTTTTCAGGAAGGACATTTAAAAATGGAAGAGTAGGTATATAGGGACAAAAAGACTGGGAAAAATTATAATAAGAAAGAAGTAATTTTCTGTGAGTTGTGGGACTAGGGTTAGTTCCTTTTTTCTTTTTTCTTTTTCCTACGGTGTGTATTTATTACTTTTTAAATAAAAAAATAAGCTTTATCTTTCAAGATGAATGGAATGAGGAAGGGGAATCCCTTCTGATGGTCTGAGGACATAATCACTAGCTACTCTATATTAATAATAGGAGCATATGTTTCTCCTAAAGTGCAACAACCAGCTTACACATTAAACTCTAAACAGAAACAAAAAAGACAAAAACAAAACAAAACCAAACCCTACAAAAACCTAACGTCAAAAGAGCATCCAATCTGGAAAAGACTTTGTGTGTGGGTTGGTTGCAGAAGGAAGTGATTTCCCTCAATTTTTCTGGCTGGCAGTCCTTTTGCACTTTGATATTTGTTTCAACAATAATTCATTATTCCTCCTCCCCAAAGAGCCTGTGCTGGTATGAGATGCTATTGAAGACTCTGGTTTGCCCAGACAGGTCTCAGCAAATGGGACCTGTGGGGAGAGGGGATCCTTTTTCCAGGTTGGAAAAAAGAAAAAAAAAAAAAAAGCCTTTGCCCTGCAGGGACGATAGAACACACTCTTTCCTAGTCAGAGGGTCACTCACCTCCGTGCCGTGTTGGGGAGAATCATCATCTAATTCCAAGCCTAAGGCTGGGTCATCAGACACACTGTCTTCTCCCAGCCCTTCTCCTAGCTTCTCCTACCAGTTTTCATGATCCAATTTTTCTGCTCCCTCGGACCAGCTGAAAAGGAAGTTATGAGCTCTCTCCATCATTCGTCAGTCTGCTAGGCCCTTCCTCCTTGGCAGTTTTCCCATTTGGGGTCTTTTTTCTCTTCCTCTTGCTGTTTCTCCTCCCCTCCCACAACCTCTGTATCTCTGGGGGAGTTCTGTCTGTGCCTCTGGGCCTTTCGCTTTCTATTTAGTTCCCAGAACCCATTCTGGGATTCTATTTTTGTCCATCCATCTATCCAACTGATCACGGGTTGAAACCAGGAGTGCAATCAGTCCAAGCGGCTGGAGGCATCGGCTCTGGTTCTACCCCATGTTGCTTTATTTGTGGGCTATTTTCCGTTTCCCATCATGCTCTAGGAGAATGGCCTGTCAGTGCTGGGACTGTGCTTTTTTCCCTCCTGCCAGCGGAAACCCAGATTAGAAAAGATGGGACATTTTTAAAAAAAGGAGTCTGCGCTATCTTGGCAGTTCCTTTCCCAATAGCAGATTTCTTATGCTTTGATAATTCCATAGTGAGAACACAAATTGTTAAGTGGGTTGAGGGAGAGGGTTCTAGTCAGAGATAAAGCTTTGTCCTTTGAGCCTCTTGCTGTTCTCCGTCCCCCACTCCTGGCTCTTCTCACTTGGTGCTGATATGGTCCATGTATACCATGGCCTTTCACCTCCAGCCAGGGGGCTCCTGGAGGCCAGGGACTCTGCCTCCCAGGCTCTCAAGCCCAGTAGGTGATCCACACGTATATGGATTAAAGATCTTTTTCTCCTCCCCGAGGTTTGTCTTCAAGCCCAGCCACCTACCGAATATGTCCTGACATCCTACGTGGTTGCAACTTGTTGCACTACGTGCTGCTGAGAAGACAATGGTGGGGTGGGTGATGAGGGGGCAAGGAAGGAAGAGGTGTAGACTGGAAGGAGGAGGGCAGCGCAGGGCCCCAGGAGTCAGGACCGGAGTTAACACTGCTAAAGCAGAACGAGCGAAGGAGCCTATTCGTCCTCCCATCTCAGAAGACCTGACCGATCCCTTCAAATCTGTGCACGTTCAGGGAGAATAAAGGGGATAATAACGATGTTAATAGCAGCTAATAATTGATGCTAATGCCACCATGCGGGAACTGTTCTAAAAGCTTTGCATTTACTCACTTCTTTTGTCCTCATGGCAATCCTGAAACGTGTGTTCTGTTCTTGCCACCCCCATTTTACAGATGAGGCAACGGAGGCCAAGAAGTTTGCCCACAGTCACACGGCTGGTAAACACAGCGTGGAATTCGTGAGTCCAGGAAGGTGGCTCCAGAGCTTGGTCTTGCAACCATCCTACCTCTGGCGATTCCCGAATGTTGATCTGTCTCCTTAGGGCCCACCGACTGCCACCTTCCTGGGATGACTACAGACCCGGACATTGGTCCTATCTTTGTGCTCCCCATGGTCATCTCAAACTGCCCAGTGATGAAACTGCAGAAGGGTCTGGGGAGCTGGGGAGAGGGAGGGAAGGAATGAGGAGCCCCCGCCCCACACACACAAGCCTGCTTCTCCTCCTCCCGCACCTCCTGTGTTTTCTCTCCACTAGCAGCACTTCATTCCACCTAGCTTAGGAACCAAGGAGCCTGGGAGTTTCCTTGTGCCTCCTGTGCACTCACTCCTTGTGTCACCATGACTTGCTCCTCTGGCCTCTTAATGCTGCTCACATCCTCCTGTAACAGGGACTACCAGCGGCCACTTTCGGGCCTTTTCAGCACTCTCTGGGGCCACTGTAGCGGTGTCCTAATGGGTGTCTCCTCCAACTAGGGCAGCGTCTAGGCCATGCTGGTTACAACATGGACTGCTGGGTCCCTGCCCAGATTACCACTCACTGGGCCTGGAGCAGGGCCTGGGAGCTTGCCTAACGCCAAGTCCCAGTGCCTACGTCATTCACCTCACTTCATCTCGTCACGTGGCCATTTTGTCATCTCATGTCATCACGAGAAGAAAGAAGAGGAAGAGGAAGAAGAAGAGGAAGAAGAAGAAGAAGAAGAAGAAGAAGAAGAAGAAGAAGAAGAAGAAGAAGAAGGAGAAGAAGAAGAAGGAGAAGAAGAAGAAGAGGAAGAAGAAGAAGGAGAAGAAGAAGAAGGAGAAGAAGAAGAAGGAGAAGAAGAAGAAGGAGAAGAAGAAGAAGGAGAAGAAGAAGAAGGAGAAGAAGAAGGAGAAGGAGAAGAAGAAGAAGGAGAAGAAGAAGAAGGAGAAGAAGAAGAAGAAGGAGAAGAAGAAGGAGAAGAAGAAGAAGAAGAAGGTAGTACAGTACGGTATTTTGAGACAGAGACCACATTCATGTAAGTTTTATTACAGTCTACTGTTATAATTATTCTATTTTATTATTAGTTATTATTAATCTCTTACTGTTCCTTCTTATAAATTAAACATTACCATAGACGTATATGCAGAGGAAAAAACTTAGTAGTCTGATACTATCCACGATTTCAGGCATCCCTCGGATCCTAGAACACATCCCCTTCGGATAAAGGGAGGACTGCTGTACATGGTAGCTATTGTTATTGTAGGGTTAGAGCTGATGTCTTCAGAGGTCCTGTTGGTGTCAGGGTCTGACCTTTCTGTAGGTTACAGCCCTGAGAGCCTGTGCATGGCCCCACTGCTGCTAGTCACTCCCACAGACAGAGCTTGATCCTTGGTCTCATCCTCCCTCCTGCCCAGGCAGGGCTGGGCCCTCTCTTCCCCTGGCCTTCCGCCCTCTGGACCTAACTTTTAGAAGTGCAGGGGACCATCTGAGACATGAAGTGCCAGTGTTGCAGTGGGCAGCTCCCTTCAGGGGACTCCTACTAACAATGCTATTGATCCACTAGGGTGGCTGGACAGGATCTGCATCTCTAGTCCCTGCAGCTCCTGTCCCAGCCCCTTCTAGGGGGAAACTTACTGCCAATTGCCCAAGTAATTATTACTGTCACTGTCTCTGTGCTCTTTTGCTGCCAAACCAGTGGGAGAAGGGCATGCAAAACTGGGAGAAAGAACTCACGGTGTAGTCAAAGAAACTGCAGTTGCAGGGTTGTTTCCCGATTTGCTCTTACCTGAAAATTCAGATAAATATTCCACACTTTAAAATGGAACTCAAGGGCACCTGGGTGGCTCAGTCGGTTAAGAGTCTGCCTTTGGCTCAAGTCAGGATCCCAGGGTCCTGGGATCGAGCGCTGAGCGCAGAGCCTGCTTCTACCTCTCCCTCTGTGTGTGCACGCTCTCTCTCTCAAATAAATAAATCTTTAAAAAAATAGAAAAAGTAAAATGGAACTCAAATATCCAAAGAAACCTGGATGCTTCACTGATTAAATCCCTCACCATCACTCCAAGCCAGTGGACAAGTCCTTGGGTATCCCCTGGGGCTCCTGTTCCCTCTTCATTGGAATAGGAACTTTGGAGTACATTAATTCTAAAGACGTGTCCTTAGAAGTCCTGAATCCTGTCATTATGGGAATTTTGGCTGTTCCTAATTAAACTTGACCTTGTTCTCTCTGTAGCCTCAGGCTAAGCCTGTCTGTGCAGGGAGCTTAAAAAACCTGCAGGATACATTACAGCTGGGTAAGGAGAGGAGTCGGCTCTTAGGAAAATCAATTTGGATTCAGCAAATATTTGTTGAGCTCCCTACTATATGCCATTTCCTGTGCTAGATTCACCTACAGATACACAGATTCTTAGGTAAGGTCTGTCTTGCATCAAGATGGCTCTACAAATAAGTAAATAAATAAGGCAATTAGACAACTGGACTCCATTTGTCCGCATGACCCTCCATAACCAGTTGCTTTCTTTACTATATTTAAATTGAATTTGCGTGTTTGATTAAGTTTCTTGGGCCTCTGGTTTTCTCTGATCTCACAATTTAAACATTTGCTTTTAGATTGAAGATATTTCACAAGATGGCCTCTCATTTAAATATCTTAATATGCCCTAGGGAGAGGCCCAAATAACAGATTCCAGAATCTACCCACAGAGCCTCAGCCCAAGTCCATTGTAAAGCCAGCTGTATGTATGACTTTCTGCAGCACTGTAGAGCTCCCTGGGGACAGAGACGAGATCCTATCCTATACTCTTTGGTAGATCATTGCTGGGCAGAAGGTCAATGCTCAGTAACATCTGCTGAATTGGGGATCTTTCTTTTCCGCCCAGAGCATCTCCTGGAGAATATAACAGTGAGAGGTCAGGTGTTCTCCACCCCCTTCTCAGAATCTAAGGGCACCCACTTCCTCCCCTCCCCTCTTCCTCCCTCTCCCCCTCCCTCCCTCCCCATTCTATATAGCAGCCTTGCTGCCCTTCTCACTGTGGGTTTGGTGGGGGCAGCTGCCCTTGTTTTCTACCCTCTGTGTGCCAGGCATCTGTTTCATGTCTCTACCTTTTAGAAAGTAAACATTTAGGGTTTGAAGAAAGATCATCAACTTGGAATTCTTGTTTGCAACTTTCGGATTCTTATGGTGGTCGACCATAGCAATTTAGGGGTGAGCTGTTTAGTCGAATTTAACCTTGACAGAGGATGGCTGTTTGGGCTGTTACTTAATGTTATTAAATATTGCCCCAATTCAGCAGAGGAGCCTCTTTTCCCAACTTTATCCTATTATCACTCTCAATGTCCTCTGGGGAGGGTAAAAGGAAAAGTGGGTTTATAATAAACATGTTTTATATTATAATCCCTGGTACATAGTAGGCACTTAACTAATGTTAGTTCTCCTGTCTAGCTAAAAGGGCATTATCCTGAAATATGTCTTTCTATAGTATTTCTGAAACAGAGGTTCCAACCTTAGTTTATGAAAATGGATGGAAAAGAACTGCACCATTATTATTTTTATTGCTAACTGATTTTTAGGATGTCTTTCAGTGATGAATGTGAATAACACACCACGGTACTATCAGCCAACCCTGGTGACATTGTCTTTAGAAATACTTTCATATTCTGTTACAATGTGGCAGGTATCCTAAAATATCATTTATACTTATTTATTATTATTATTCATCATACTTATTTACTATCACTTACTTCTTACCAGGCCCAACATTTATGATTCCAGGCATCAATAAAGAAGCACATACATTACTTAATCTCAAATTTGTGTTTTTTAATGTTTTGCTGACTATATTTCAGTATGATGTGCTTCTTTTATAAGCTTAGGCATCTCTTCTACATATTGAAGAACATTATTCTGAGAGGGGCTCCATAGGATTCACCAGGCAGTCTTAATCTTGGCACAAAGATTAAGGACTTGTTTTCTGACAACATTCTTCTGGTCTTTATACGGATTCTATGTTTCTTGTTCTATCCTTTCCTCTTTAATGTTGCTTAGGATACTTAAATACCTCCTTCTCTTTTTTGGTGTCCCCCACCCTCTCTCTCTTGGTAAAAATAATATGTGCACATTAAAGCTACAGGGAATAGAGCAATGAGCATTATCTAATTATATTCACTGTCAACATCTTGGTAAACTCTGAGAAATATTTATTTTTATGCACAAATTTTTATTTTTAACATATTTGTAATTAAATGGTTAATCTCAATTTTGCAACATGCTTCATCCATTTTTTTTTTAAACTAGTGAAATATCCCGTGTCATCTTAGCTTGAGCTTCCCTCCCTCTACCCCCACCCTGTTAACAGGGTTAAAGATTATATCATTGCTTATTTGTTCTGAATTACAGCTGACTTTTCTTTGCTTTTTGAAATTAGGTAAATATGCTGTCCTTGGAATGTATTTGGCCTTCTTTGGATCAATCCATTCTTAGTTTATATGTATTTTTGGTTCTTGCATATTTAACACCACTTTAGTAATGTTTTCATCATTCTAATAAGATAGACTTTAGGACAATTATAGTGGGAAATTTAAATCCATAACAGTTTAATCGGTGGAGTCACTAATTTTTAAAATATATTGTCTGATTCTTCCTCTCAGATAACTAGGCTCCAGGTCTCTGGTATTGTGGGAACTTAGGTCAGTCACTGGGGGGATATAAGGCATCTCTCTTCTGAAACTATACTGTATGGAGCTTAGGAATAGAGGTGGAAGGCAGCATTTCAGGGAGATGACAAATCAAAGCCAGATAAACCATTGGCATGGGTAGCCAATCCCCAAGAAGCTAAGCTAAGAGGGGGTAGGGGTGGAAAACTCATATAATTTTGAATCCAAAAAGTTTCGTTTAGGTCCATTCACTCAGTGACCCTGAGAGGGCCAAACTTTATGAAGCTCAATTTTTCCATCTATAAAAATAGAACAATGTGAACACCTATCTTTCAGAGCTGGTTGTGTGGATCAAATGGAATAATATACATGAAAATAATGTGTTGGTGCTATTTTATGATTATTACTGGTTGATATACAAAAAAATGTGATGGATGTTTGGATGAGATATTACAAACTATTCACATAACCCCCTTTTCCATGAAGACTTCCAGATCTCCCTAGTGCTTAGTTGTTCCTTGTCTTCTCTATCCTCAAACTACTTTGTTCATGTTGCTATAGTAGCGCTTTCCTCTATATTGTCATTTCTGACCCGTGTCTTTCTCTCCCTCCATCAGACTCTGAGGATGGCATGTGTGTCATTTATTGTTCTGACCTTAGCGCCTAGCACAGTACCTGGCACATAATAGGTCCTTGATAAGTCAGTGAGTAAAGAGGCAAAGTAAAGACGCAGCAGTTTACAACCTGGTAGAGGAGAGAAGTCATATACAGATGCCACTCCAGGCAAGTGGACGACACTTAAGGAGACTGATAGCATAGCAGGGCTGAGCAAAGACAGACCAGTTAGTGCTATAGAGAGAGCTCAGGGAAGACTTCTTGGAGGAGGGAGAATTTCGGCTGAACCTTGAAAGCCATTTGCATAACAGCTGTGTATAACAGATATATAGATATAAGATTTACATATATTTTCATAGGAGCCTCAAAACGCATTTAAATCCAATGTGTATGATATTCAACATGCGTGGCTTTGCCTGGTTCAGTGAGCCCCAAGGGAGCATAGTTAGAATTGCTATATGGTATTAAGAGAAAACACACAAAGGAAGTTCCTTGTTGTTTCACATATCCAATCATCAAAAACCCAGCTCTACATTTTTAACATAAGAAAAAACCAAACCAACAAACCCAAACTCTATTAATTAGGATAATGGATAACCTGCTGTAACCAAGACACTCTAAATACCATGAGTTAAGGAAGATGAGTTTACTGTACTCTGATGAAACATCCCTGAGGTAAGCAATTGAGGCTGGTGGGCTGCTCTGCTTCATGGGACCATTCATGGACCCAGGTTCCCTTCTTTCATGTTATTGCTATGCATTCCTTAAGGC